TTGGAGATGAAAGAAGCAATTAAGAAAAGAGACTTGGTTCCTTTTCCAACACCTACATCAAGCACTGGCCATAAGTGCTTTATAAAACATTTTATTAAGAGGATTGAGTATATAAAAGGACAGCTCTCCTGCAGAGGTACAAAAACTTGCCTTTTAATGCAGGCTGAAAAGTTAGAATGTCTTAACTGTAGCCATTTAGTGACATAAAGGAGCAAAAGGCTGCTAGTGTGTTGGCCACTAATGCGCCAAGTTCAGGTACCTTAAAATGTTTAGTCTCCCGTGGAGTTGGCCTCCTATTTCCAGAGGCCCTTTAATCACTTGGATTTCAACACTAATAAAAATGTCTGTACCAACTTCTACTGTTGGAGAGTTAGGAGTTGGATTCTATCCACTCTGAGTAAGAGCCCTGGTTTAGGGGAGGATCCTTGGCTGCCATTTCGTAAACAGACTTTTGCTGAGAATTTCTGATGCGCTGTGTCCCTAGACCCAGGATCTTTGGCAATGCTAGGAAGAAAACAGCAATTCTTTTGCTAAATCTATGAATAAGCCTGTCTCATTAAGGGCAGAAGGACACATAAGCAGGATGCATTTTTCTGCCCTTCATACTCATACTGACATAAAAATCTTCTTAAGCAAAGCACCAACCTCTTCTTCTCGTATTATGTACTCACATTCCTTCTATGACATCTATTTATTTTGGTATTTCCATGGCAACTACAGTCAGGAAATTGCCCCAAATTTAGAGGGTTTCTATATTGTATCGTATTATGCTAAGGGAGAAAAGCAATGATAAAAATGCTATTAATTAGATTAAGCTCTTCATATTAGTAAATAATTTCATAATATACAAAACATCACACTTATTCATTCCTTATCTTTGAAGACAGGGAAGAAATTAAGCTCTCTCTCTAATAAATTAGAACATCGGTACTTAGCAGCTAAATGACTTACCCAAGGTGACACCAGGAGATTTAGGATTAGAAAAAATATCACTTTACTTTCCAATGAAGTTTTAGTGATCTTAACTTTAATCTGTTCATTTATTCAAATCTATAAGAATAATCAAAACTAAGCTTTTAAAAGATATATCAGCAAAGTAGAAAACCATCTTGTTGATTTTGCCAATAATTATACAAACTTAAAATAACTATGACATAATGTACTTCTTAAATTGGTTTAAAATGAAGATAAATAAAGCTCTCCCATAGGGGATAGGTTACAGTTTAACATATGGTTTCATTATTGCTGATGGTTCTACAAATGAGAAAAATCTTTCTCAAGTAATCTAACAAGGTAAAGCAAAAGTTCTCCAAATTACCTTAAACTTGACTTGGTAACATAAATCCATGAATTTATGCTAAAAATGTAATTCAAAATAAAAAAAAAATACTCGGCTTTCTAAAGGCAGGTTATTTACAATACTAAAAGATTAGAAAATACCCAATGCCTTTTGAGTGGGCAAATGGTTTTAAAATGAAGTATGCAAACACAACGTAAAACTAAACACCTAAAAATCTAAACATGAAGATTATCAACAATGGAAAACTATATACATATTTACATTAGGTTGAAAAATAAAAAATATAAAACAAATGTAAAATAATTAAAGAGAATTACAATGCTATTCTGAATCAAACTTGTTCAATCATAGCTACTAACATACAAGGATTAGAATTTGAGAGACCATAGGAAAATTTTAGTAACTATTGAACCAAAGCTGCAGACATTATGAGTACATTTACCCTCAAAATTATGTAAATATTTAACTTAAATAGGATCTTAAGTTTATTAACAACTAATTTAGGCAGAATTAAATTTAATTTATATTAGACTGATCTCAGTCCTTGACTCAGTATCAAACATGGGTGGTCCTTGCACATAAATACTTAACTCAATATTCAGATTCCATCAATGGGAAAAAAAAAAGATACACTAACTGATGGCCAAGGGCTAAGTTTTCTCTGCTACGTATGGAATGTCTTCTAGATAGCCGTTTCCAAAAATGTGACATAGAGCAATTTTGCTGGACCACATAGAAAGTGCCTTTGGTTCTAAGAAAGACATACTCCGTTCTAGAGTTATCCTTCATACATCTTAAAAACAAAGTCATTTTATTTTATTCTCCCAGTTTTCCCACCCTATATGTATTTCTACTGTGGAGCTTATTGGACTTATGAAAGTTCAGAAGAAATTAAAGTGCTAATATATCCACCTGAGAGCTTGAGGGCTGTGCTGAACTCTGGAATCAGTACTGAACAAGGGTCTTTGAGTAAAGCTTAATTAAATCCTGATAAGAATTAAATTATATTTTAGAGTCATCACGGATATATCTCATTAAAGAAAAGTCTTGACTAAAGGTTCTTATGAGGGAAAGAAGTGAAAAAGGACAGTAAGAATTTCCATTATCTGAATTCATCCAGCTCTTTCAAGTATGTGATTAAGTATCTTCCAGCTAGTTTTCCTCGTCCTAAGCATAGTATAGTAACAGGAAACCAAAGCAGAATGGGCTGGCATCCTAAAGAATCACAAAGATCCCACGCTTGGAATGGAGACTGAAACTTGAGCCCACACACTGTAGAAACCCATTATTTAGTCAGATTAGACTTTCTTCAGTCTTATTACACATTAGGGAAAGCAAGCAAACACTTAAAAATGGGAGAGGGGTACGTCTGAGAGGTTACCATAATTCCTAAAGCCCAGTGAATTTCACTGCCCATGTGTAAGGTTCTCATATTCAAAAATATTAAATAGGTCCAGAAATCTTATTAAAGTTAATCCCAGAATAACATTTACTACACTACTGTTTCTTCAGCAAGGCCAAGTGCACTTTACAAAGGTTGCCTCATTTCTTTTTCATGAGCCTTTGGGGGACATACTACAATCAGCCCCATTATATAGATGAAGAAACTGAGGCTTAGAAAGATCAAGTAACTTTCCAAAGGAGACAAAACATTAAGTGGTAGAACCAAATTCAAACTCATGTTCTTCCCACCCTATTATATTGTTTCCCAATATTGTCTATATTGTTTCTAGCTGGTAGGGAATAAAAAGGATAACTGAAGAAGGCTGCCAGGGGAGCATCACTAAAGTAGCAAGAATTGACAATGTAGTCAAAAAAGGGATGAGAAATAGAAACAAGAGCTATAAAAAGCACAGCAGTCTGTGTTACTTAGTGTTAATGTAAGGACAAACAGCCTTAGGTACCTCTACAGACTCTGCTAACATCACTGTCCTATAGCTGATAGCAGCAAATAATTTCGTAGTGGTGGTCCTAAGCCATTGTGAGTGAATGTCCTTATAGTCTGTTTAAAAAGATAGGGGGTTATGTAATGCCTTTCTTTTTTCAATAAAGATTTCAAATGGTGATATTTGAAATATTCTTTTTTTTTTTTGAGACAGGATCATGCTCTGTTGCCTAGGCTGGAGTGCAGTGGCATGATCATAGCTCACTGCAACCTCAAATTCCTGGGCTCAAGTGATCCTCCTGCTTGCCAAGCAGCTGAACTATAGGCATGTGCCACCATGCCTGGCTTATTTTTTTTATTTTTCGTAGAGACAGGGTCTTGCTATATTGCCCAGGCTAGGTGAAATATTCTTATTGTCCTAAAGACGTAAGCTTTCATTTACTAGACTTTCCCTTATATATAAATGCTCATTCCAGATCAAAAGAACATTACTGTGTTTGTCTTTATGTTTTGGAAAAACTAAAACCATGTGATATTTGCAAAGAATATGGGATTAGGGGTATGAATAACTGGCTGATGATAGAGCACACAAAGTTACTTTCCCCCTCTCTACATCTCTGTATTCTCACTACGAAAGAAGTTAGGCAAATAATCTTAAGATTTTTTTCCCAGCTCAAATTATATGGCTTTATAATGATGCTACATGTGTTTAAGTTGCCTTTAGGAAGAAAATGAAACAAAATTGAACCTAGGAGATGCAAAACTATATTTAATCCTACAAACTCTTAATCTCGAAGAACTTTCAGATCTGTGCCACAGACCCCAGGGATAAAATGAATTAGAGCTGTCATGTTATGGGAAAATATCAACCAGGCCAGAAACTTCTTCAATAAACTCCAACCCTGGGAATCTGCAAAGCTATGTATAACTCTCAATATCTTGTACCCAAGCCTTCGTTTATGTAGAAATTCCTGGGTACTGACAGTGAGACTCTTTTCTGGGTTTGCAAGAAAGTGCTACTTTTTCCACTAACATCTGTTAAACAAAGAGATTAAAATCATGCAGAAGGATACTAAAAAATTTACATTAGATTAAAAAGTTGGTGTTAATTTGTCAAATTGCACTATGAGAGAATAGCTTAATATGTAGATTAAGTAGCCTTAATAAAGCTAAGATAATGTGACTTATTTTTTAGTCACTCAGCTATGTCATTAAAATATAGTCATTGTGTTCTTTAGTAAAAGAAAAGAATTATTAGCTCAGTCAGCATTACTATTCATTTCTCTTTAAGATGCTCTACGATAAAGGGTTTCTCTGCACCATTGAAAACCTGCTGGATAAGAGAGGTAAGCAACATTCTGGGTAAATAAAAGGCGATTCAAAGGGTCCAGCAGTTTGGAGGAACACTGACATGTCTGGAGATCCTACAAAGTTTCCCTGAAAATACCGGGACTTGAAATGCAGGGTGCGATCTAATATATGAGGTGTGACTCAGCTACTTGGAAGTCTGATGCTCCAGGGAAGAACACACTAGGTTGTACTTACATGCTTGAAAGCCACAGGCTGATGATCTTCCCAGCTAACTGAATGGCAGTCCCAGCCCCAGTGTATTTTTCTGGCCTCATATGAATGGGGATATATGGAGAAAAAATTACAATATGCTAATTTACACACACACACACACAGACACACACACACACACACATTTTAAAGTCTCAGGAGAAAAAAAGATTTGACATTTTTATCTGGAGTGATTGGCATTCAGCCAAAGCAGACATCTTTGCAAAGCACCTGAGGAACAAATCTGGAACTTACAATGTAGCAGGGCTCACAGTAGGCTTTCTTTTCCACAGCATAGAAGGGCTGCCCGCGGAGCTTGTTGTTGCAGATGATGCAGGTAAAACAATCCACGTGGAAGACCTGATCCATGGCAGTGCATCCTGTACCTTCCCCAACTACATTCTCTCCACAGCGAGCACAGCGGCCTGAAAGAACAAATGGATTGACTGTTAAGAACAAACCAAGGAGGACTTCAGTCCTTCCAAGGAAGACAGTGTAGAGGAGACAGCAGATTCATAATGTTAGCAGCAGCAACAGAACCACCACCACTGCCCTCCCTACCACTAGCAAGATCACCAGTACAGACTTCCCTATATCCTCCATGTGACCAGCACAGTGGGGATTTTACATGAATAATTTGAGGACACTGGCTCTCTCAGCCTAAGGTCTTACAGAAAGTAACAAACAACAGAACCCAGGTCCCTCGAATCTCACATGCAAGTATAAAAAGAACGTGATTTAGGATGCATGGCGTGGAAGGCACAATCTATGAAACAGTCCATAATCTTCTTTGAGATTCTATGCATCCAGTTATGATGTGAGGGAACTGGGTCCAAACTCAAACTTGAATTCCTTTTACAAAAGCCTTGGTTGTAAGATCTCTGCAGCCAGCCCCCAGTGACAGGCAGATCCCAAGGCAGTCCCTTTTGTGTTGTGACTGCTTGGATTACTAAAAAGTTCTCTCTCGTATTCAGCCATGATGCTTCCTCACTTGATCCAATAGTTCTGTTCTGTTTTGTGGGGCCTCATGAGACAAATCTCATTTCTTGGATCGACACATTTTAAGGTAACAAAATTCAGTTAGCATTGCCTCCAAGTCTGTTCCTAGTTTGGACATTCCTAAATCCTGCAATGGTTCCATATGCTTAGGGTTTTGAGTCAATGACCCTCGTTGTCATTGTTCATACAGTGTTTTGCAAAGCTCCAGCATCCTTAAATTGATTAATGGGGCATTTGGCCCACTTATGGACCGCAGATTGAAATTTTTAAAAACTCAATTAAGTTTTAAATTATAACAATAAAATATAATTTAAGACAAACACATCAGTGAGAGGTGTTAACGCTGGCTGCAATCTGTATCTCTATCTGGCTCTATCGTGGCAATCTTGAGCCAGAGGTCAGGTCCACATCTAGTTTCCTTTCTTATTCTTTGTTTCTACTCAATTAAAAAAATCCTAACAAATAATTTTAGGACACTAAGGATGTCAGCAAGAATCTGCAGGCTTTGACAGATAAGTTATAGCAAACCTAGTATATCACATATGTCAGGCATTTTTCTAGGGCCTTTATATATATTAACTCATTTCATATTCACAACAATCCATGTATAGGTACTGTTATTATTCCTATTTTACAAATGAGGAAACTGAGTCAGAAAAATGGTTAAATAACTTAAAAATGGTTAAGAGAATAGATGCCCAAGCAGTGTAGCTTTGCATCTATGCTCTTAACCACTATGCTATATTGGCTATTCCTGGTTGTGTGCATCAGGATTAGCACAGATCTGACATTCGGCAGCATTATGGAGAGATTTCTCATTGAAGACTGCTTTCAGCGCTCATCACATTGGATCGACAGCCATTTCACACTCAAAAATGGAGGGCTAAATATTACAACTTGAGAGAAAAAAGACAAATATATTTCTAATTCTCTCTGGTTACATTTGGCCCTGGAAAGTATTTCTTTATATTCTGTTGCAGGATTTGAATATATCTTTTAAATATGACCCAAAGTATACAACATAAAAAATACGAAGTGCTGAAAATAGTTAAACTCTTAGAAACTGGGCTGTCTCCACTATAGTTGATATTATTATGAAGTCTTGATACCATATTGTTAAAATTTGATAAAAAATTTTGTAGAATATTTAGAGTAAACTTTGTGGCTGGTCTTACAAACTTTTATTGAGGAATTAGTTTGTACCTGTTTTTATTATAAGATAAAAGATGTCTTTAAAAAATTTTGGACTTTTCATGCCTATAGTAACAAAATTATTTCATATGGCACTATTTTTGTGATTATTCTGAAAAAACCAAAATAACAAAAAAAGACTGTGCTAGGTTTGAAAATAATGCTACACTTCTGAGATCTTTATGCCACCTTTTGACAGTATTTCATTACAGAAAACATTAGGGATTAGAGGCAAGTGGATCACCAATCTATATTGGATTCCTGTGAAAACTATAATTTTACATTTCAAATTTGTTAAATTCAGGTCAACAAAATTATTTTTCTGTATTATTATTTCCTTTTCCAGATGTCATGCAAACTCATGAAATAGGGTACCAGGGACTACGAGAGATATTGACCACACTTTGCAAAAAAATAGCTCTGGCCAAATGCTACCAACTACTGGTCATGGTGGTCTATTAAGCAGCTAAAGGTAGCAATTTTGATCCATATCACAGTTGCCTAAAACGTAATATGTGGAATCCAAGAGCCTAAACCTACATGGTTTATGGAGAGTTTGATAGCTACCCATGAGGATCTGGGAGCAAATTTCCATCACTCATTTAGAGGGAAAGGTCAGAGAAGAACCCTAAAGGTCATGATGAAAAGATAAGCTTTGACATTTTGAATCTATACAACAGACATTCCAAGTATCTACTCTTTGCCCAGGACTATATTTTGCTTCTGTGTGATATACAGAAATGGATTTGACGTCAGTGTCTTTTACAGTCATTCCAAGACTATATACATTCAAAAGTCACGTGACAAATCGTGCAACATGTCTTTGAAGAAAGTGCTATGGAAATGTGGAAGGAAAATCACATCTGAAGAGGCTCAGGAAAGGTTTTGTGGAGAAAGAGGCATTCGAGACTGACCTTAAACCATGGAATTCTGACAGGTGAAGATGGAAGCAAGAAAAGACCCTCTAGTTTTTCCAGAGTGCCTGTGGCTTATTGCATCCAAAACACTACAGTGGCTTGGTGACGGCACAACAAGGTTTTGTCTTCTCAGCTATGAAAACAGATGGACTGTATTCATAAGGAGCAATCTTCTCCTTTATGTTTTGGAGAATATTCTTCCAGAGTGGGTCAGCCTAATACGCTGGACCTAGACAGGACCAGCTCTGCTGCATCCCATATTCTTCCTATTCTTGGGATAAACTGGGACACCAGCCTTGAGGGCAGCCAGTCTGACATCTTTAAAATCACAAGCACAGAAAAAGAGCGAAGAACAAAAAATAAAAATAGCCCTACACATCAGCAGGACAGAAAAGGTGCCCGAATGTTCCCTTCACACATTAACAAAAATTTACAAACTATGCCTTTTAGGGAGGCATTCAGAATGGAAAGAAAGTTACTCAAGCATAGTGTATCTTTGCCTCCAGAGAAACTTACACTATGCATTGTTACAAGCACACCACAATCGTAATGCCCATGTTTTAGACAAGTATATGAGTATTTTTAAACAAGAAAAACCAGGGGAATGGTACCAAACTTCGAGGCATCAGAGCATGAAGGAAACAGTTGATCCAGGGCCAGCAAGAAGCTGGGGCTCAGAACAGGGCTGGTGTGAGGAACTTGTTGACAACCCTTAGGACAGTAAATCAGAAGAGCCAATGACAGAGGACTGGAAAGCCTATGGGGAATTAGTCAGTGACTTAGGACTACTAAACCCATTCACACAAAAAAAGCTTGTTTATATATTATTACTTCATATATATATATATATATATATATATATATATACACATATAGCTTTACATTGGCAGTGGAGCAAGCTATGGAGTCTTCTTACCCTTTAACTCTTCTCTCCCATCTCCAGCAACCTCAGCAATGTCTCAGAAACACCTAGTTTCCACCACACGCCTACCACCTAAATGAGGTTTTGTTATCTTTCACAGGCCATTGCAATGGCTTCCTGATTGTTTTGATATCTCTAATTTACTTCCTCTTACAAACAGAAAGGCTTTACAACAGTTTTGGTAAGTGAGCTAAGTCTGAAAGGTTAGAATTTGAACAAGTCATTTTTAGGAATGGCATGGCTGGAGTGTGGCATTCCCGGCAAATCAACAGGTTGAACAAGGGAGGTAGAAAAGTGGAATGTGGGTTTTCATATTTATTTTCTGTGTTAGGTATGTAAATTTATTTCCCTCATAATGCAAAAATACACTTTTTATTTTAAAATGTTTTTTTCCATGATCACTATATGATTAATACAATAGGCCACAGACCCTCTTTTGCAAATGCTGCTTGTTTTTGAGGTGGGACCAAAAATGTCCATAGCCATTTTGAGAGCTGATGCCATGGTGACTGGAGAAGACATATTTCTAAACTTGCACATTCCTCAACATCAAAAGTAAAGTAGCAAATTTATGCATATATCAAGTCTTCATGTCCTCCTGGCTACTTGGCTTATAATGGAAATTTTAGGCATAAGCAAAATAATGTATTTTTATATACTATAATGAATTAAAGCTCTATATGTCTATTATATGATATATCAGTTTTCTCAATAAGCACCTTGTTCAATATATTCTGAAAAAAGTCCTGTTCTAAAAGTTGAATCAATAACATTATATATGGGTAGTGAAATGATGGTAAAGTATTCCTAGAAACAAAGCCTGCTCTAATTTATGCTACATATGGCCACTAGAGTTATTTTCCTGAAGCACAGTCTCCATTAAGATGATTCAAAAATTATCTTCCACTGAAGGCACAAAAAGATAATAGAACAAGTTTGCATCTTGTATGTGACAGGCCCATGTGACATTCCCTGAAGGTTCTGGGATAATGGCATTTTCCAATCACTAAAGCTTTTACTTCATGGGACCCTGTAGCATTAATGCCTGTAATAATAGACAACCTCTTTCTTCAACCGCTTATGTTCTAGGTCAGTGATTTTCAACCTTCCCTGTATATTGCAGTCATTTGGGGAACTTAAAAAAAAATACTGATCCCTGCATCCCAGCTCCAGAGATTCTGATTTCATTGGTCTGAGGTGGGATGTCACAGGAGTGAAATTTTAAAAGCCCTCCAGGTGATTCTATTGTTAAAGTTCAGCCACACTACCAGGGGGTACCTATTTCTGTACTGCCTGTCAGAATAAAAGCTCACAGGTACTACCTAAACAGGCTTCATTTGCATGCAAAACAATTTGGGGACAGACTGGCTCAACCATGAGTTACCTGAAAGAAAGA